GTTGATGATGAAGATTTTGAATCGAGTATATAGGGGTAGATAAAAGCCGTCTAAGTACAATTGATGATGATGAACTTAGTGAACTAGCTCTATATAAGGGTCAAAAACCAACTAAGTGGAATTGATGATGATGAACCAAGTGAATGGAGGGTATAGCAGATTTACTGGAAAGGTTAACTATACCATACTGGAAATCAGCGGAAAATGGGTTAATTACACTAAAACCCTAGGGTATAGGGGACGTAACCCTAAAATCGTCCCAGGTAGGTGCGTAACCCCCCAGCCTACCCTAACCCTAACTCTAACCCTAACCGCCGACCAGCCCCACCCGTCCCAGGGTAGTGGCGTACCCCCCGCCTACCCTAACCCACCCTAACCACCGGCCAGCCCCACCCGGTCCCAGGCAAGGCCCGACCGGAAACCGCGTACGGACGGTACAGATATTTTACGCGGTCGGACCGCAGCAGCGAGTCGGCGGTAGCCTAGTGGCTAGTGCGCTAGCCTACTACTACAGTAGTATCCAGTGTCGCCGGTTCGATCCTCGGCCGGAACCTGTCATAGTTTGGCTGCAACACACTTCTGACTTGGTCGCAGACTGGTTGCTGCGATTTTCCGCGGAATTCCAGCATGGTAGAGTTTAGCTTCCCCCTAAGCAGACTGGTTTGGCTTGTGGTTACGCTGACAAGCTGTGTAACCCGGATTTCACAATGAATATTGATTTTATTTTTGAATTTCTTGATAAATTCACTGTGAAAATACCTAAAAATTAGAATGATGATGAAAATGACAATGAATGTCTAATCTTGTAATCCTTCATTCCCCATTGGTACTTCCTCGATTCAATGCACTGATCATTTGAAAGCTATTACATTGAAGTGCAAGAGTTTTACGGGGAATCACTTTGCCAGCTGGCCTACTGAGCAATTCAGCATACCACTGCAGGTTGCTTTAGCTAGAAACTGAACCTGAGGTTGTCATAGTCATGCTCCAGCTCGTGCTGCCCTTGTTCTGGTGGCAGTGGAAGAGGCTCTGGAAGCCATTGGCATTGACAGCATATTGACCAGCATGAGCTGCAAGCAGGTTTCTTGTACATGTTTCAGCATGTTCCCAGCTCTAGTTCGACGTCAAATCAGTCTGGATGAAGGAAAGCCGTCCGATCTCTGAGCTCCATAAAATCCGACCGCTCCGAAGTTCAGCTTTGCGTTTTGGCTGGGGGCCCAGAATGAAGCGATCTACCTGAAAACGGCAAAACTTCATGGGATGGGGTGGCCGAAGGCGACCCCATCCCCTGCTAAATGCAGGGATGGGTCGCCGAAGGCGACCCACTCGAGATAACGGAAGTTCTCCGTCATTCGACCAAATGTCACGTCATGGTGGTTTGACACGTCTGTTCCGGAGCAAATAACTTCTGAGGCTGTGTACATGTCCATTCGATTCACGAGACATCATAGCCTGCACATCTTGGCACATCCATAATGCCTTAGTACTGTACTCCTAATACACTGATTTACAGTAGATAATCACTGGATCATTTCATGATCATGGGACTAGTAATCAATTTTTACTGGTGAACATACTTACGTGCATCAACCGTCAACTGTCCTACTAAAGTTCCGTGCATACTCTGACGATACCATTGAGAGCCAGAGTTGGCATGCTCAAACTTGAATAAGTTATGCTACTACAGTAGCAGACGCGCCCTCATTGACATCATGACGACCATACGAATCGCAACCCGTCTTCTATCCAGCAGCATATTGAACGGATCACTTCAGACCAAC